CCTGCAGCCAAACGAGCATGGCCACACTCTCAGTGTTGGTCAGGACGACTACCCACCGTCGGCAATGCGCACCACTCTTTCCAACGAGGACTACAACCCAGAGAGCTTTGCGTCCCGCCGTGACGACTCCCTCGAGCCTGCTAGTCCAAACCCTTCTAGCGATGAAGAAGACGTGGCTGCCCTGGGTTCTGATTCGGACAGCGAGGCTGGCAGCATCGATAGTTCCGAGATGATGTCTGACTCCGAGCCAGAGATTCAGGACTCAGAAGACGAGGAGATGGAAGAGGGTGAACACAAGAAACCCACCACATCCTCATCTAACAAAGAGAACGAGGCGTCCGTCAACAGCCAGGTACCTCAGACTGTTCACTGCTTCCCGCGTGAAACAACGACGCTTTCACTCTCAGACGTATACATGCCACAAGACGCAGCCAACACACAGGCGTCGCTACCACGCATGTACATGTACGGTATGCAGGGCTCTGACAGCAACTCCATGTCAAACAGTAACGTCTACGGCGATAACGCGCCTCCACCTCTGCTGCCACGTCCATCGGCGTCTAGGACAGCGCCCTGGTGCGATTTAACCTATCGCTCGTTCAGGGAGGTGAACGATCTTCAGGAATGGTACTCCGAGGGCATTCAGCAGCCGAATTACTTGGGCACCAACTTTGGCGACCGCCCGTCCCTGTTCAGTCAGGCTCCTCTTCCCTCAATGGCAGAGGCGAATGAGACTCGTGCGCCCATGCCCCAATTCAATCCTTATCCTAGCCAACCCATGCAAGCGAGCCGTCTGCAGACACCACCACCATATTTTGTACCCGACTTCGAGACCTCCCCGCCGGTGCAGCCAGGTCGCCGTACCAAGGTCTCTATCGAGGAGATCGTTGAGGAGCAGCCGCCCACGCCTGAATCTGTGAAGGACTTGAAGCGCAAGGCAGATGTGCTTGAAGCAGACGAGCCAGTAGTCGTCCTCGATGAATTATCAAAGGCCACCATTGGTGATGAGCACGCAACCTCAAACTTGGTAGCTGCTGTTCCAGTGGATGATGCTGCTGCAATTCAGACGGCTGCCATCATTGCCCAGCGTCCCAAGAAGACACCCCGCTCAGTCCTTAGCAAGGTTCTCAACAAGGCTGCGTATCCCCTGCTTGGTGCTACCGGTGCAGTAGTCTCCTTTGCTCTTCTTTCCACTCTTCCGGACGCCTTCTTTGTGTAGGCCGTGACGGACCTGATGGCAGCAGTCCATCTTTCTTCTTTTCCGGAGTTCAGGTCAAGGCAAGGTGTACATGGCGGGGCGATCATGGGATCATGATATCGGTGGGAGCATCTACGGATAACGGCAATCAGTGCTAACGGCGTTTCGAGAGACGTCAGAAGAGTCGGGTCCTGCGTTATGGGTGGTATGTGCTTCGGGATCCACTGGCGTTGTGTGTTTTTGGCTTCATGTCACGCCATCGTGCATGACCATATTACCTTTAGTTCAATAACGAGTTATGTGCAAGAATCTCACCAGTACATGCTACTGCGTGTGTTGTCTGAGTGATGCAAAATGACAGATTGGGTTTATGCGAAGCTTGAAATTCTTCAGGACGCTAAACCTCAAGCGGCTCGTGTTGAGGAGCTCCACACCCACGTGGATGACCCAGACGTCACGTCTTCATTTCTGTCAATCCGGATCATGGTAGAGTACGAGTATCTGTACCGGATCTTGTGTTATTGTTATTATTGCTGCGTATCTGGTGTAAGCAACGTCTTTCGCAAAAAAAGATTCCTATCTACTACCAACCGCGACGCTCCGCTCGATCCTCACGCTTCTGAAGACGTCTGGTGGACTGTCACTGTCTTCTTGATAGCGTTCCAATCCTGTATCTCCCTATCCAAAACAGCCGCCTCGCTCCCCTGTGTACTACCTTGGTCTTTACCCGACCTCATCCCCATGACCTTCGTCCTAACCTTCGTCGAGACCGAAGTCCAAAGCGGTTTCAAAATTGGCAAACAAGCACACAAGACCGCAGTACAAACATGGATGCTAGTCCAAAGCTCGGTGGCATGATAGAAAACTGGTCAACGTCAGCGGAAACGACTCTCAGCATCAAAGTAAAAGAAGGCCTACTCTCATTCGGATCATCTTTACGTCTAGTATAAAACTCAACAATCCGCACCACATTGGTAACAACAACAAACCCACCCAGCGCAAAAACACCCACAAGCTCAAACTTCGCCCGCCACGCCATCTGCAGCGTAAACGCCGTGCGAATCGGCACAAGCAAGATAGCTAAATCATTAGCCGCATCGAGCGCGAGGAAAGCCTGGAAAACTCTTGGCCAAGTTCCCTTCCACTTTTCCTGCTCAGCAGCAACTTTGACGGCCTCAGACGGGCTATGCGTGCTGACGACGAAGGAGCGGCAGACGAATATCATAGCGGCGACGGCGGCGACCCACCAGAGCGAGGTGAAGATGATTAGGTACAGTGAGGCGCGCTGGTGGAAGGTGCAGGTGCTGAAGATGCGCCGGTAGAAGAGCAGGATGGAGAGTTTGCAGGTGAATTGCGACCATATGGCCAGGAGAAAGGCGGTGAGCATGGCCTGTTTGTTGTTGGAGGGGCGGTTAGTTGGGTTGCGGAGAGGGGGGGTGTGGAGAGGGAAATTACCTTACGGTATTGTATCAGCCGCGGGGAGGCAGCGGTCAAGTGCATGTCCAGGATTTCGGTTTTGGTATAGGGTCCAAAGTTTGTGAAGCTCTCTGTCGTGGAAGAGTCAGTTCAGGGTCGGTGCTACTGCAGTGGTAGTGATGTACCGTGTAGGGCGACGATAATGGCGGCGTAGTAGACGATCAAGGTCCACAGGATGAGATAGTCGTCTTTTTTAAAGGCTTGTTTGGTTGATAGTTTGGCGTAGAAGCGTGTACATACTGCGAGGCCGGCTATGAGGCAGCAGATGAAGTGGGCGATCGCTATCTGAGCGTGGTAGTAACTGAGACCGAGCATCGTGGTGGAGGATTTGCTGTAAATGAGCGATTGTCGTAATGTCGAGTTCAACAGACTTTCTGAGGCTTCGGGAAGGCGCAGTGTTACTCGGAGCGGCGTCGATGTGCAATCAAAACGCAACAGTGCATATCCAAAGTTCAAGATTGCGGCGGTATATAAGGAGGCGCGAGAATCGACCGCGACGAAAAATGAGTGAACAAACGCGTGCGATCGTTGTCGAGATATAGGGCCAAGCTCGGCATCCAGATTGGAGGAGAAGACGGATATAGGGTGATCGCCCGATTGTCGGTGGTCACACTGCGTCACCCAAAAGACATCTTCCGTTTGCTATCGATCTCCGTTTTACAGACTATTCCAAATGGGTCATGTCTACCTTCTCTCTTTCACTTCTCATTTCTTCCTGATGAACTCGATCGGTGCGCCCAACCAGCCGAGCGTAACTAGTAGGATTTTTGGATGATGATAAAAACCGTATGGAGCCGAACCTAGAGTTACGTTCCCACCCTTAGCCGCACGATGTCTTGACTTAGATCTACATGTTTTTAATACTTTTTTTTTTGAATTCCTAGCATGCCCAACGCAACTGTTTAGCTATAGGGATAGCTGCGCTCACAAACAACAAAAGTATGGCGTCCCCCATGCTCACTTCATCTTGACCACCTCGACCCTCACACCCTCTGCCCATCGCGGCGATCACCATCCTAGGGATATCGGTCCTCCCGTAACGGCCTCTATCGCGGTATCAACCACAGGATCGAACTCCCCAACATCAAACGCCAACTGCTTCAGCCTACTCATCGCTTGTTCCATGAGGCTGATGTGTCTTCGAAGCAATCCGATCATCTTCTGGTGCGCCTGTGCTTCTCTTTTGCATTTCGTCAGCTCATTGTTTGACTTGCCAATCTCCCTATAGAGAGGGAGAAGTTCTGCGATGATTTTTCTCCTCCGCTCATGGTAGTCGTGGTCATCGCTGCTGTTATCAGAGTCGCTGCTTCCATGATCGCGCTCTCTCTGGTGTAGTTGATCTGTGTCTCCGTCTATCGGCGCGTCACTTGCTGCTAGTATCTCTTCGTGATCGAGATGGTTGGGAGGCGAATAAGGAGGGGGAGCCGAGTGACTCGAGAGTCTATCATGATTCGTGTCTGCATAGATGTCGTTCGTCTCCGCGGTGTACTGATGCATTACGTAGTTGTTCTGCTCCATAGTGACAAGACAGCTTCGAGCGACATCCATCTGAGTTTCGGCTTCCTGGAGTCGCGCTTTGCATCTCTGGATCTCAACTTCGCGCTCCTTGATTTTGTTTTCTCGCCGTTCGAGTTCGGCCCTGCGTGCCTCAACTATGGTCGCACAAGTCCTCGTGACGCCTTCCATCGCCTCGGTATGTTGCCGTTGCATCTCAAAGCCTTCCCCTGCATGTAATCTTAGTGTTGGTCTTGTTTCGATTGCTCATTGGTGTACGCTCCGTACCTATAGTGTTGTCTGCCGACCCATCGTACATCCATGACGGATTGGATGAAGTCCTGCACATGATGCACGGAGATGTCTTGCCGGAGTTTTGTGAATGTTTTTCGAGTGATTATGTGTTGGGTCGTTGTGCACGATAAGAATAATGTTGGTGTATCGTGGGAATGTCGTGGAATCAGAACGAGGAAGACGTGTAGCGCTGGTTTTATTCTTCTTTGAACGATGGTTGATGTGATCACTCGAGTCAGCGTGCGAGGTATGTGGTGTATTGGTTTGTTGTTGTAAAAGCTAAGGTGCTAACTACTAAGGAAGGAGAGCCTATGTACCCGTGAGGTAATCACGTGACACAGCGCGTCGACCTACCTAGGTAGGTACAGCATGCCCACGAACCAATCATAACTTACAAATTATGCAAATTACTAATACTATAGGTCAACGAGAGCGCGAATATTGCGACGACTGATATATGGTCGGACAAAACTCTTCTACGAACGGAGCCGTGCTGAGGTGCACTATATGCGCGAGATATCATTTGCTCAGCCACCGTTCAAAGATGCCCGGGCCAAAACGCCGCCCTATTCGCCCGCGCCCAACTTCCATCGTGCGCTACAATCACCTCTACTTCTACAGGGCCTCCATCTTCTTCACGAACAGTCCCTTGCTTCAAGAGCCTTGCTATCGTTTGTACGGTAGCGGCTGCAGCATCAGTGTCAGCGTGCACACTTCTCAAACCACCTTTCCCGTCGTCGTAGAGCGCGATACCCTTCTCACCGGTCAAGATGCGCGGGTCATGGCAACAGTCGCCACCGAGGTATACCCATTTCTTTGGCCCTATTCGGGCGAGAAGGTTGATGTGTCCGAACAAGTGCCCTGGCGCATCGATGATGAATAATGATCCGTCTCCATAGAAGTCTATGGAGGCGGGAAACCCTGCCAATGGCTTCCACTCAAGTTCTTTTAACTGGTTCTTGAACGCGCGTAGAACTTCTGCCTTGCGAACAGGTGGTAGCTCACTCGTTCGGTCGGCAGGCAGCTCATCAGGGTTGAATATCTCGGCTGGATACAGTGGTCCACCTCCGTTCACAAGAAGATGCATAGTTCCACTTCCGACTACAAATCGCGCGTTTGTGAAATCGCTGGGTGTACCCACATGGTCCCAGTGAACATGGCTCAGCATCACCACGTCCACACTTTTTGGGTCAAGTCCACCTCTTCGCAGGCTCTCAGCTGCATCCGGACTGACACTGGTAGGCTGGCGTTGCGCGATATGACGCTGTTGTGCTTCCCGGTAGCCAGAAAAGTCGCGTTTGAGACCGAGATCGAAGACAAGATTGGATGAACCGTGTCGAATCAGGAAAGAGAGAGATGGGACTGTCGCACGTCTTTCTGGGTCGGCATCTGTGACGAAGAGTCTCTCGGGAAGGGTAAGCTGGCCGGCTTCGAGGGCCGAGATGGTAACGTAGGTTTGATCGTGGGCCGGTGCTGGGAGAATAACGGTATCCTTGCTTGACGCCATGGCGAATGACAGGAGGCGAAAGCTGGTAACTGAATTGTTTCCAAAGAAGCCATGTTCGACGCCAAATATGACATCGTGGTTGGAGAAAGCTTGGTTGGGGAAATCGCTCGCATGTATTCCGTCCTGCAGCCCCACCTTGTCAACTACCCCGCACGCGGGGTCAACTCCCTTGAGATATCGAGATCTGCTGAATCCATCAGTGGTGATAGAAGGTATATAGATGGAGATTTTCCCCAGATGTAGTTAAATGGCAACTCCCCGCTCCGTATCAATTCGATAAGTTTCCAAACAACCATGTCGTTTACTGTGCCCGAATCGATGCAAGCGCAGTACCTGGAGGCTTATAAGGAACCGTACAGGCTACGATCAGTTCCAATTCCAAAGCTGGAGGAGCCACATGATATCCTCCTCAGGGTAGACGCTGCTTCGTATTGCCATACCGACTATGTCCTAGCGGAAGGACAGATGCCAGGATTGCCGAAATCTTTCCCACACATCGGATGCCACGAGTTCGCCGGGACGGTAGTCGCTCACTTTCAGACGCCCAGCAAGGAAGCTAGCGCGTTCGACATCGGCATAAGGGTCGGTGTACCGGGGCGTTCTTTCCATGCTTGTGGCACATGTTTCGAGTGCAAGAACGAGCGCGTGGATGATCCGGTCGCCATGGATGAAGGAGGCTACTCGGTGAACTGTATCAATGCTGAGAACAAAGGGCTGAGCAAAGATGGAGGGTTCGCGCAGTATGCCGTTGTGGATGCAAGACAGCTATCACCCATACCAGACAGTCTAACCGCAGTAGAGACTGCCCCTCTGATGTGCGCCGGCGTGACCATATACGGAGCACTCAAAAGATGCCGACTCAAGGAAGGCGACCGAGTCGGCATACTAGGAGCTGGTGGTGGACTTGGCCATCTGGGCTTACAATACGGAGTCAAGATGGGGTACAAAGTCCTGGGTATCGAGGCAGCAGATGAGCCCCTCAAGCTTTCGCAAGATGTCGCCTCGAGATTGGATCCACAGCCGTATATCGTAGACGCTCGGAACAAGAAGGCAGCGGATGTCGTTCAGGAAATCGGCAGACAAGAGAGCAAGGAGGACATTGGCGAGATGGGGCTGGATGCAGTGATCGTCCTGCCGGAAAGCCAGGCTGCTTTTGACTACGGCATGACCCTGCTGAAGTCACATGGCACGTGCGTTGTGGTGTCGTTCCCGGAGAAGGGCTTCCACATCAACTCGCGCGACGTCGTGTTCCGGGATATCAGGATCATCGGCAGCCTGGTAGGAAGTAACAAAGTACTTCGTGAGATGCTGGAGTTCTCCGCCGAAAATGATATTCGCGCTTTATCGACTTCGTTTCCTCTGGCGAAGCTGAACGAGCTTGTAGGCGAATACCACAAGGGTCGGGGTGGAAAGTTGGTGGTTGATATGGCCCTTGAAGCGTAGATCGAGTAGTAAGATGCTTCCGCGCACTCTTTGCCCAACGCCAAGCCCGAGACCACCTGCATCGAGTTAGCCGCTCGGGGTCGCGGTTAGGCGAGGGCCTGCCAATTCCGTAAATTTCATTTTCATAAAGGCTAAACAAACCGCCGAATGTCGTGTAATGATTGCCTTCATGCTTTCAAATTCTTGTGAGGTTTAGCACTGATGGTTGAGAGTACCACAATGTCCAGTCACGTGTCGATTATGAGCCAGCGGAATGACGTCACAAGCCGCCTGAACATCAACACGAGGACTGTCCAATTCAGCCAAACCACAGTCCGAGATACTTCAAACTTGGCTACAGATGTCGTCGCCTGGCATTGGCAATCTATTGCGCAGTACCTCCGCCTCCAGTCCCTCTATTTGATCTGGCCCTACGCCTATCAACTACGACGAAGTCACCTCGACCATCATCGAAATCATCCAACTTAGCGTCTTTGTCTTCTTTTTCATCCTTAACTTCCTTGCCCTTCTCCTGTTGCTCAGTCCTCTCCTCCTTGACTGCATCCAATTTCTCAACCCAACTCTTGACAAACACCACTTCCTCCTCTTCCAAGTCCTCACAGATAACACAAGAAAGTGCGCTACCTGGCATACGGTTCCCATCTGTGTCCTCGGGCCACGGATAGAAGTACTTGCAGTACCAACAAGCGTATCCCGAACAGCGGCGGTCGTCGCGCGTTGTAATAGTTGCATCAGCGCACTCCGCGTCGCAAACCGGCGATGCACATGTTTGACAAGGACCGCCGGGTGAAGCTATGGTGCCAGGTACGTTGAAGTGTGAGCAGTCGTGACAGATCCATCCGCGGAGAGGGGGATTGGACTGCGTAGTGTCAATGTCTTGACCTACTAAGAGGAGGAAAGGAATGTATGAAGGAAGAGGTCCTTACGTTTCGTGCCATTCCTGCGGACTGCTTGCACGCGAATAGCACAATTCTTTGCGCCGTGAAGTTTTCCTGCTCTAGTATATATTTCTCTTGCGTAGAGTTAGCACGAGAGTAGTTGGTGCCTAGGTAAAGTTGAGGTACATATACTGCTAACGATGTCCATGATGTTGAGTGAGCGCTCCGTGTATGTAGGTACGATGTCAATTGAATGTCGGAAGCGAAAGGGCGACGTGCTTGTATACGTCAGGTGCAACGAGATTGTTCCTGCTGCGAAGTGGCTACCAGCACGTGGAAAGGTCCAGATCACGCTAGGATAGTGTCGCAACTGCGTTTGCTCTCGCTTTCAACGAAGTCTCCGGCTTCTGCTGCATTATGCACGTATACTTCCAACGATATTCCTAACAGTCCATCGCTACAACTTAACCACCCGCTTAATTGAGTAACAGCAATATGACGACACCCACTAGTAAGTCCCCTTCCCATTCTCTTCGCCCACACCACAGAAGTCGCTGACCCCTACCCAGAGCGCGAAATCATCAACATCCCTTGCGATCTCACTAGGGCCGCCCACCTAGCTCTCGTGCAACTCGCGGTCCGAGACGCTCGTACAGACAATCCAGCACAACGCGGATGGATCTGTCATCACAGCTCACATTACAACACACCTGGGTCTCGCCATGTCTCAGCTTCTCCATGCCGGTGCGGCCATGTAGCCTGCCGGCCCGTCGCACTCCATCTGCAGTTTGCTACACTGTCCTTTGGTGACTACTACTTCACTCTGATTATAGCGTCATTCCTAACTTCAGTACAGGTGATTCATCAACCACTTGTTTCGACGTTGAAGTTACAACGAGAAGAGATGCGAGACATTATGGTTGGGTGTGTTTCTATTGCAAAGTGTATACTGCATGGGGTGCCCAAGGCGACTGGGGCGCTACGCGTCTGATATGTGCGGAGTGTGGGGACGTCAAGGAGAAAGAAGTTGTGTTCGTGAAGAAGAGTTTGGTGGGATATGCTCAGCCATGGAAGGGGGTTGACGGGACGCAGACGAACGGACACAATGGAACAGCAGCAGGCGAGCATGGAATAGTTGGCTAACTTGAGAAGCAATCGAAGCATTTATGAAAAACTGAACATCCTAGAGCCTACGTTGACGTTAGGTCGCCTGCTTTGCACATTTTTGTCTTAATGTAGGCTGCAGACCTGTGTACTTGATATAAGTCGTAGACCCGTTCAATTCTTCTCTCGTGTGAGGTGGTGACTAGATTTGAGTATCGCGCTGTTCATATATCATTGAGCGTGAACACAGCCGTCGTACATACCCTAGGCGGTTTGATCTCGTGTCCCGTATACCTAGGTAAGTACCGCACTATTCTCGCTTCACTCTGTCACCGCGTCTGTCGCACACATGCCATACAGTGACGCTAAGCGTTGACGCGTCTTCGATGGCATATGCCCGGGCACCACCTACCTAGGTAGGTACAGTATAGAGAACTTGTCGATAACGTAAACATGGCACGGGTGTTGTCATTCCGAATCCGTTATGTGGTTTTGCGCATTTATGATTGGATAAAGAGGCCTCTTATCGGGGGTTGTTCAGTCCGACGTAAACGAAATCCGAGTACCTCGCTCTTTTATAACAATGCGCGGGGGCACAGGCAGCCCAGGAGCCAGGACGCTGCCATCGGCGGCTCATCTATCCCGAGGACCGGCCTTTAGCCGGACCCGAGACGCTCGTTTCCACCAACCTTTAGCGGGCAGCTCGTATCGGTGAGTACGTATCCAGCACACCGGAGTGGAAAGTTATGCGCCAAATCCGACGACGCCTGTCATCAGCTTCAGGCAGACGTTTTTACAACACCTCTTAAATGGGGGCCCTCTGCATCTCGCTTGAATTATTGCAATACAAACAAAAGCAAGCGCAACTATTGACTTTTCATCAATTCTCGATTTGTCAGGTTCAGCCATCGTTTGGCGCATGCGTTAACTGTTCGTCTGGTCAGTGCCGTGTCATCTGTAGTTGCCTCGCACTCGCACTCGCGCCTTGGTGTTGCGCAATCCATCCATCGTATCGGCCGTATTCCAGCCCCCCGGACGAAACGAGTCCGCGCTTTTGCGTCATCCACATTCGGGTCCATCGCCACCCAACCGAGAAGCTTAGATCGTGTGTTTTGCCCTATCAAGCCTAGCGACGTCCGGCTCGGACAACGGCTTGCCCTTGCACTACAAGGATCTCTAATCTTCTAGGCCCGTGGGTGGCGCGCTGAAGGATCTCAAAGGAATTGCAGGAGAAGTTATTGTTCCTCTCCTCGCGACATCCCCTTAGGACTTCTTGGAGGTATTTCGACTGCTGCACGCCAAGTATCAGCAGCGACACGACAAGACACGCTCATCGCCTTGAGCATGGACAACGAGGACTCAGCAACGTCGACGGGAACGGCCATCTCCGCGGCCATTGACGAGAAGCATGAGTTGCACACCGAAAAGGAGGCCAAGCCTCCCACAGCTGGCCTCAGTGATCAAGAGAAGGACATTATCGACAGGCAGTTGACTGCTCCCAACCTCACAGTCGGTTACTTCTCGCTATTTCGCTATGCCAACGGAAAGGACAAAGTCGTCATGGTCATTGCGTTA